TATATATATATATATATATATATATATATATATATATATATATATATATATATATATATATATATATATATATATATACATACATACATATACATATACATACATATATATACATATACATACATATATATACATATACATACATATATATATATACATACATATATAAATATATATATATAAATATATATATATAAATATATATATATATATATATATATATATATATATATATATATATATATATATATATATATATATATATGATATATAATTATATATGATATATAATTATTAATATGATAGAACGAAAACATTATGCAGCACCTCTTTTTAGCGTAAATTTCCACAAATTCTAAAAGCACGTATACATGATAAAATGTGATTACGAACGGATCGTATTTGGTCATTTACTCACACAGTGTGTTCTTTCAGATCATTGTCGTTGGCGACGTGGAGGACCATCTATACCAACTACTGGAGCACCTAAAATGGATGAGAGTAAAGGTATATTAATACTCAATATCAAGATATAGTCTAGAAGCTTTTAATATTTTATAGTGAATGGCCATGCCGCTGAGCAGTCATTGCATGCATGACATTGTGTGCTTAGTCAAGAATTTTCCCGCGCATTATTTCGATATAATTTTGGCAAAATTGGCTCAAATTGTAAGTTTAAATAATTCCTAATTGTGCTTAAACCACCTTTCTTGGGCCTTTGTCTTGTTCTTAATCTCGAAATTCCACCAATAAATCAAAAACTTTGCCGACCATTCATCTTGAAGTAAGTTAGCAGTATCCCTCATTAATATTCAGTACACCCCAGCATGCATTGTTAGGATGAATTTGTGGCTGGTATTTCTAACCGCCTTTTTATGTTGAACGACTTCACCACGAGAACAAGTCTAAATCTTTTGTTGATGGATAGTGCGATAATATGCTTGACAAGATACTATTGGGAAATGTCAATTTTCCACAATAACAAAAAAACTCTACAGGGTGTATAAATAAGTGCACTATTCTAAAATTTCCACTAATCTGAAAATTCCGCCAAATTTTTGACAACATAGTGCTAGTATGAGTAGTTTGGATCTTCTGGAATCTGTAGAATTGCATCACCATATTATTTCGAAGTATATGTTTTCGAATGCAGCCGGGCTACTATTTTTCAAAACGAATTTAAAAATGGCTTGCGCACAAAAATGGTAAGTTAAAACGCAATTTGAATTCACATGATGCAAATTTATAGAAGTTGTTTTATGAACTATCAAAGCACCAGACAATTTTATGTACAGTCCAACGCCCAATTTTTTTTGCTATAGTAGCCATTAACGGATAACTTTTTAACTTTTTGTGAAGAGTATGTAAGAAACAATTATGCATAGAATCAGTCATGCGTGTGATAAATTATGCGCGAAAGGCTACTGTCGCGAAAAGTCCAACTTTCAAATTTGCACTCTAAGAATTCAAATCGGGATTTGAACCTTTATTTTATTAAAGTGGTTTTGGAAAACAGTCGTGCTGCACTCCAAAAATTCACTTTTACTTTTCAGAATAAATTGGTGATAGAGATATCAGAAGACTCCAAACTACCCATACTAAGATAAAGTTGCAACAAATTTTGCGGAATTTTTAGTTTAGTGGAAATTTTAGAACTGTGCACGTTTTTTATAATTATAATTATCCCTGTAATTATATTAATTATAATTATCCCTGTAATTATAATTATAATTATTTTAGAACTGTGCACGTTTAATATAATTATAATTATCCCTGTAATTATCGTTAAAACTATACTAAATATGTCATAATTTTTTTTCAGTTTTCGAGATGGATGTGATTGCAAAGGTTATATTTCCCCATTTACTGTATATGCTAAACCAGGTGAACCGAAGGTACAGGTCACGTTGCCAGAACCAGAAGTGATATGCAAAAATTATGTGAACAAGTCAGTTAGTCCACCTAGTGATTCTAAGTTTAAACTGGGCCGACATGCAATTACTTATTCGTACTGGTACGAAAGTTACAAGCGAGATTTGAAGTGTTCTGTCAATTTCACTGTTGCTGGTAAGTGAACGTTGATATACATGACATTTCTCAATTCTGATTGCTCAGTAGTACATGTATAGGTTAAGCACTGTCACACGACGACATGGTTTTCTACATTGTGGTTAGCCGCGCATGCGCAAGCTAACCACACAAAAACCAGATAATTTGAGACGAGCGACTCATACACTCTTGCAAATCACGAGTAAAAACTTGCCCGGTTATAATTATTTGAATTTCTTCATATTTAGCTTGTGAATGTCCCAGTAATCAAACACTGAACGCGACAGTCAAGCCTGGTGAAACCGAAGCCTCTGTCAGCTGGCGGGAACCTGAACCTAGTTGCCCGACTAATTCAAGCCCACAAAATCCGAAAAATACCAGTGAACGGTTTTCTGTAGGCAAACACACGGTCACGTACAAGTACACCCACGATGGCCACGAAAGAGGGTCCCAAAAGTTTGATGTAAAATGTCATGTGAACATCGTTGTCACAGGTATGCTACATACTACACACGTAAAGATGATAAGGGAATAGGTGGGCATCGCAGGAAAAGTTTGGGCAAACGAAAGGGACTTATTGAAGCTTCCTAATGGCGGCAGAATTCAAGTCCTGCATATGTATCTACCGGTTGTAAAAATGTACGCCCATGCCACATAGTGTAATCTCCTTGGCAACATCGCCTTACAGTAACATCAAAATGTTTTTATTATTGTTAAAAAAACATGAAAATTAAACCATGTAATGTTGTAAAATACAAATTCCCAAATTTTTATCACTAAATCTAGAATAAAATGGGCCACGTACGATTAGATTTTTCACTGAATTTGGATGCTTCTGTTTATTTAGGCCAGTCATAAGTTTTGCTCATGTTGATTTTGTTTTTATTTCCCGCCATGTACATGACAATTATTAATACATTATTTTGCTAAGATAGTCATGACACTGTTGCTAAGACGATTTCAAAATGTGATTTTTCCAGCTGTGATGGTAGACTTTCATTTCTTTGCCTAACTAAACATAGAAAAAACCTGTTATCGTTCCATGTTTCGCTCACCAATATAGGTTAGGGGTTAAATATTTGGGGTTAGGTATTAGGGGTTACGTATTAGGGGCTAGGTATTAGGGATTAGGTTAGGGGTTATGTGTATGGAGGTATCCAGTTAACTTTTCAGTACACTATATATAGCATCCATTACATAACGTTTCCTATATTGGTCCCGCAATGCCAAATCTATCCTTTTATACATATAGACTTGCTGTAAGTCTCTTTCTCGTTGTTTGTTTGTTTGTTTGTTTGTTTGTTTGTTTGTTTGTTTGTTTGTTTGTTTGTTTGTTTGTTTGTTTGTTTGTTTGTTTGTTTGCTTGCTTGCTTGCTTACTTGCTTGCTTGCTTGCTTGCTTGCTTGCTTGCTTGCTTGCTTGCTTGCTTGCTTGCTTGCTTGCTTGCTTGCTTGCTTGCTTGCTTGCTTGCTTGCTTGCTTGCTTGCTTGCTTGCTTGCTTGCTTGTTTGTTTGTTTGTTTGTTTGTTTGTTTGTTTGTTTGTTTGTTTGTTTGTTTGTTTGTTTGTTTGTTTGTTTGTTTGTTTGTTTGTTTGTTTGTTTGTTTGTTTGTTTGTTTGTTTGTTTGTTTTTTAGTTAATTATATTCAGACATAGCTTTTCGGTACAATATTATTCCTATGTACTGGACGTTGCGCACGCCTTATTGCTATTATACGTCTCATTATTAAAGTCTCACCATTTTCTATGCCTGTATTTTAGGAATGTTTTGCGATACAAAGGCTTACGACCCAGCCACTCATGTTTGCTGTTGTGATAAAGTTCATAAGAAAAACTCTGGCCACGAGTGCTGTGGCGAGAAGTACTACAATCCTAGTGAGAAAATATGTTGCCCAGGAGCCATTCTCAAGCCTCTTGAAGGACACTGTCCTTTGAGCATAAAAGTATAAAAAGCTTCCTACGCAATTCAAGGAAATTTTGCTTGTTTATAGGTAGAAAATTAAATGACAATAATATATATAATTTGTACCCATTACAAAAATGATGGAATTAGTATTATATTATTAAGTCATTGAGATTAACATCTCTATGGCGCAAATTTACATGTGGATACAGCAATTTGCATTCAAGCACAAACCGAAAACATTTTCGCGCGTTTCATTACGTTTGAAACGTGGCGTTTACCGTTGGAAACGGAAATGTTTCACTGCCCATGTGACGTGTTACAGTGCAAATTAGCCTAATTCAGTCATTTTTCATGTTTTGATGTGCTTTTGGTGTACGTTTCAGTATTTCCAAGCTCACGATATTGTAAGAGCAAACTTGTTTATTATTCATACTTTTTGTGACTAGAACGTATTATCATGGCTTGGAAATATAGAAACATGCACGGAGGCACATCAAAACATGAGAGTTGCGCCAAAAACAGCTTATCAGGCTTTTCACTGTGACACGTACGTCACATGAGCGGTGAATACATTTCAGTTTCCAACGGTAAACGCCCTGTTTCAAACGTAAAAAAAACGCGCGAAAATGTTTGCGGTTTGTGCTTGGATGCAAATTGCTGTAATGATCAAATGCGCTTGACATTATACAAATAATGAATGTTTATGAGTGCAATGGTAAGAATATTTTCATTCGGTGAAAGATGGAATGTTCCATTCAACGAGGCGACAGCCGAGTTGAATGGAACATTCCATCTTTCACCGAATAAAATATTCTTACCATTGCACGAATAAAAGCATTCATTATTTGTTTTATATTTTACCAAAATAGACTAATATTACTGTATTAGCTCCCGACATTTTGACGAGTCGTATTTGCATTAAATACCATTTAGTGAGTTTCGAATATCGGGTTAAAATAAACTGCGATCACCGCACGAGAAGCATTTTGACGGATGCGATTTATCAAAAACACAAAGAGTGCAATGGAATAAAACGTATAGTACAATTGCACTCGCAAAGAGTGCAATGGAACGTATTCCATTGCACTCTTGAAAAGTGGAATTTTCTATTCAATATCACGTGACCATAAACAGTACTACTATGAGAAATTGAGCTTAGATTTCGATGTCGTTCGACAAAGAACTTGGAAATCTTTGTGTACAAAGTGTCGCTCCTTTGGCATTACTTGTTGTTCGTAAACGTGTATAAACTGTAAAAATTATTTTAAAAAAAATCATTTATACTCTGTTAAGACAAAAAGACTGTTCTAGCCAGTTAACACTTTAACTTAGATTAATAAACATGTAAATGTTATGCATGTTAGTAGAAATAGTTTTGGTGGGACTTAATTGGATCTTATTTAAGATCTGTTGCCCTTTTCCTTCAATCATTTGTTAATATATGTTATTGATTGTAAAGTTAAAAAATAAAATAAAATAAACGATCAGAATTCAATAAGGTATTATATAGTAAGTACTAGGAGTACTATAGATATACTAGAATATTATATTATAATAATATATAATATATACATGAAAATATTATTCAATTCTGATTGGCAGAGCATGCAGTGCAATTTTATCGAAATACAGGTCAGGAAAAGAAATCCAGTATCAAACGAAGAAGCGCCTAAACAAGTTTTGACTTGTTTTGACAAAAGGTCTTCTATTTTGTGGGTTTGAAGTTTGCCGGGCTTCCAGATCATCACATTATATATTAATGCTCCTAACCATTACTTTCGACTGGAAAAAACAGTTAAAATAATTTATCAGAGCATTGATTGCAAACTCGAAGATGATTTGAACAAACAAAATACAGCTCGAATTTGCATAACTTATACGCATGAATACGCACAAATACAAACATGTCGGTGTACATTTTATATAATAACACTGAATGCTACCAAGGCTCTACGATTAAAACTCAAACGGTGTAAAAGACCGGTTGCTTATTATAGCAACTCCTCTGCATCACAGAGACTAATACTGAGTGGGGATATTGAACAAAATCCAGGACCATTTCAACAAAATGCTGTTGAGCAGATATCCGTAAGAATTACTACGCGAGAGAAACGAAACCCCCCAGCTAGTCATTACAACGGCATAACCATTAACACCCGCTTACTGAGACCATTAAACCGTGTTAATGAAAATATCGGCAATTGCGGACAGCCACACTGTATCAAAGTATCCCATCTCAACATACGCTCGCTGAAAGATCGTGGGAAATTTCACCAGGTCAATGATCTTATTTTAAGAAGTGACTTTGATGTTTTCACAATTTCTGAAACGTGGTTTAATTCTACTGTTAAGAACAAAGAATATAGCATTGATGGATATAAACTTATAAGATTAGACAGGCTCAAGAAAGCTGGAGGTGGTGTATGCGCCTATATCCGAAACTCTCTGAAAGTTAGGGTGCTCCGAGACATCACGAAAACATCCCAGTGCGGTTTCCAGCAGCTTTGGCTAAGCCTTCAACATAAGAAACTAAAGTCACTTGTAATTTGCGTTGCGTATCGTCCACCAGATACACCTGTCTCTTGTCTCAGAAATGAACTGACCGCAGCTTACACCCATGCAGTTATGCTCGGCAAAGATATTTTAGTAGCAGGAGATTTAAATTGCAACTTACTCGTTGACTCCACCGAATCTTGCGCTCTAAGAGACCTGTGTTCAACTCTAAATCTTACGCAGCTGATCTCATCTCCCACAAGAGTAACTGAGACATCGCAAACGCTTATTGATGTTATACTTGCCTCCAATGTAGACCTTGTCAAGAAATCTGACGTTCTTAGCATCACTATTAGCGATCATTTTCTGGTTTACTCTACACTGAACCTGAAAATGCCTCGAACAAAACCAGTCACAATTACAACTCGTAGCTATAAGAACTTTAATGCAGACGCTTTTTGTAACGATATATCAAAGATCCCTTGGGATACCGTCACGGTTTTTGACCACACTGACGATCAGGTCTCCTGTTTCAATAATCTTTTTCAAGATGTTTTAGAACAGCATGCCCCCGTAAAAACGTTTAAATCTAAATATCGCAAATCCAAGGTGATAACTCCTGAGATCAGAGATTTAATGCGTGAACGTGATAGATTGCGGAAACGTGCACATCAAAGATCTAATCCCCGTGACTGGGAGCGTTACAGAGGCCTACGACAAGAGGTTAAATCGAAGATAATGCTGTCAGAAATCCAGTTAGTGAAAGATGAAATCAGTGAGAACAAGAGTAACAAGACATCCATCTGGAAAACTGTCCGACATTGCTTAAACCCATGCGGTAATTCAACCACCGCTTACTCACGCGACTGTACAGAGATTGCCAACGAATTCAATCTGTTCTTTACATCAGTTGGCGAAGCTGCTGCAAAACAAGCCCAGAAATTGGCTATAGACTACGAACTAGAAGCTGTTGCCCCTACCAATTCTATCATTGAGGAATGCGTGGATGGCATTGCCCCGTTTCTGTTCAATTGCGTTACACAGGAACAAGTAAGAAACATCATCATGAATATGCCGACAAACAAGGCTCCGGGGTATGATAAAGTTGGTATGAAAGTTCTCAAGATGTGTCTCCCTTCCATCTTACCTGTAATTACAGACATGTTTAATACATCACTTTCAACTGCATGTTTCCCGAAGGACTGGAAACATGCTGAGGTAGTGGCGCATCTAAAAGAGGGGGACCATGAAGTAGCCGGTAATAATCGTCCCATCTCTCTACTACCAGTAATGTCAAAGGTTTTGGAAAGACTAGCACATGACCAATTTGTTGATTATCTAACAACCAACAACATGCTCTCTGATCACCAGAGTGGAAATAAGAAATGCCATTCAACGGAAACGTTGGGAATCCTGTTCACTAGTCATCTTTACAGGGCTATCGACGAGAAAAAGGTGACAGCCGTTCTTATGTTGGACTTGAGTAAAGCATTTGATAGCATTGACCATCGGAGATTGCTAGATAAACTACGAAAGTTCAATATTCCTGATCTAACCTTGGCTTGGTTTCAAAGCTACTTAACTGACAGAACACAATACGTACGTATTCAAAACTCTCTTTCGGATTCTTTACCAATCAAACATGGAGTTCCACAGGGGTCTATCCTGGGACCCCTGTTGTTTAATCTCTACATAAACGACTTACCATCAGTCTGCCAGACTTGCAACGTTGAATCTTATGTAGATGATTCAAAACTTTATATCTCATTTTCGAATAAGGATGTAAATGAAGGCCTTGATAACCTTAGACACGATTTGAATCGAGTTGCTTCATGGTGCTGTGAGAATCATCTTCTTATAAATCCTGGTAAGACAGAGTTCTGTGTGTTTGGCTCTAATAGAATGCTAGCGAAGACAATTATCCCGCCGATAACGTTTCTAGGGAAGGAATTACCTGTCGTTGATTCGGTGAAGGACCTCGGAATGATAATAGACAAACATTTATCATTTAACGATCACACAGACGCTTTAACAAGCGATCTTATGGGCAAGTTAGCAATGATTAGTAGAATTCGTCACCTATTTGACAAATCTACACTTTTCATTGTAATTAACTCGCTTGTTTTTACAAAGTTATTCTACTGCTCCTCGGTATGGTCAGGTACTAGCAAATCAAATCTTGCTAAACTTCAACAAGTGCAAAACTTTGCAGCCCGCCTGTTGTCAGGAAAGAGGAAATATGAACATATTACACCCACCCTCAAAGAGTTAAAACTACTTCCAGTATCCGAGGCTTTTAGACTTAGAGACGGTGTTCAAATGTTTAAGTGCATGAATAATCAAGCACCGAATTACCTGATTAATATGTTTCAAAAAAGATCAGACATTCATAATTATAATACAAGGAACACCAATGACCTGAATCTAGCAAAGTGCCGCACTGCACTGGCTCAGAATTCATTTTGTTATAGAGGCGCGGTGATATGGAACTCATTGCCATCTGAGCTCCGTGATTTAGCCAGCCTGAACTGTTTTAAACGTAGTTTGAGAAGCCATCTTCTTAGAAGTTGGCTTGCTTAATTTTATAGTATATAAATAACTAGTTTATAATATTGTATAATTTCAGATATTTAATCGTGTAAATTAGGTATGAAGATCCTCTCGGGGAACCTAATAAATTTTATTGTATTGTATTGTATTGACTATGTAGAAAATTTGTAGTAATTGTGCATTTAATATGCATGAGTAAATAATTTATTTCGCCAGCGTTTTATGCACGAAACTCTTTTGCATTTTTTCCCTCGAAACCGTACTATATATACTAATCATGTTTGTAGGGAATTGGAGTTTTTTCATTAAATGAAATACATTTTAAATTTTTTATTAGTTAAAAAGTTGGAATCCAGATTCATTCAATTTTTTGTTTGTTTTATTTGTTCTAATTCTAGATTATTACAAAATTGAATAAGTTTTGTCTGACGTTTCGGTTTCCTACACGAAAACCATTTTCAAAGACTTTTGTTATAAACATGATGCAACGGATAAAATGAACAAAAGTCTTTGAAAATGGTTTTCGTGTAGGAAACCGAAACGTTAGACAAAACTTATTTTTATTAGTGCTGCTTTACAATTTTTCTATTATTACTTATTGTTGATTATCGAAATAGAATTATAGAGCGTTTGCAGCAGTCACAGCCGTCATGTTGGTGTTCCTATTCAAAATAATTTTCATTAGACTCTTTTGTCTGGAACACCAAAATGGCCGCCATGGCTTTTGTTGAGCTGGTCCCTGGGTAATGAGTGCAACATTGCCTTATTGAATGTTTTCATGCAACACTGATAGCGTCGTTACGAAGTAAAAGCATGGCATGCTCTCCCACAAAACTGTGAAATTTAGATTCTCCAAAATAGAGCTCTTTGGGCGTCACCCCCCCTCCCCAGGATTTAAGCCCCTGCATGCATTTCACAATTTGCTTAGCGCGGATTAAACATATAATAGTTTCTCTCCGAATAGTAAACTATCCGAAACGTATAGTAAACTAAAAATATTATCAAAAACCTCTTGTGTGATCCTTGATTTAAATTAAAAACACAAAATTATTTAATTATGTAATATTTCTATTCGAGTATTTTGAAAACAGGTGTGTGGCCTAGCCTGCGAACAGGCTCTCAAGCTGAATTGAGAGCCTGCATCGATGACTAATGAATTTGAATATCTGCGTCTCAAATCGTGACGCGAAATTCTCATTGATCAGATGCTATAATTTATATGTTTCCGCTGAGCTCTATATATGTCAACTGCTGAAGCACTATGCATCAAAACACATTAACTGATCAAATTGGTCTTGGGCGTCTTATCTCAAAGCACGAAATGTTCTGTTTTGAGAAAACAGTATTAAAAACGTTTGAACTTTTGCTTGAATATCTTATATTTCGAAAAACAGCATAAACTGTACGGTCTAAATTTAGTTTGCACGGTCTAAATTTAGTTTGCACGAAAGTTGTATACAACACCATATAAGGATAGACATTCCATATTTGGAAAAACGAACGTCACGGGGCAGATATTCAAATTCATTAGTCATCGATGCAGGCTCTCAATTCAGCTTGAGAGCCTATTCGCAGGCTAAGAGTGGCCTGGCATCGATTACATCGAGTTCAGCCCTCGATTACATCGAGTTCAGGCCTGTGGGTTTCCCTTGGTGTGAGACAGTTACTTCTGTGTGTGTGTTTTCCTGTAAGTGCATGTATACCATAGATATCTTATACACACTAGATAGTGCATCTAATTATTCTACAATTCAAAAATTGAAGCCGTGATTGCAGACTCAGGGTATTCCCATGAAATGAGAAGATTCGTATGTTTTGTATTTCTTAAACACGGAACTTAAATATTAAGGTAAACCTATTCCAAATACATTTTTAAACTATTCAAATGATGAAAGTTAGTGTTGTTTTTTAAGCGTTTATTAGCGAGTGGGAAACACCAACATGGCCGCCATCTATTCAAATGGGGGTAACCGCTGGAATATTCTTGGCTTCAATTTTACTAAAAGAGATGCGCTATCTAGTCTACATAAGATATCTATGATGTATACTGTATAACTAAAAAGTATCCAACAGTTTACTATAAACGTTTGTGTAACTAACGACCTTAGGCGAAGAAAAACTCGATCAAATTTGGGTTCAATTTAAGAAATGTTTCTTGCTTTTGGTCTGTGTATAAACAGCATAGGAACTGATGACCATAATTTATGCATGATTATACTTATGACTTTTTCTGTGGGAGGTATATGCAGTCTCGGAGTAATTTATGTTTCGACGCTCATGGTTTCGATACGTGACTTATATGTTTAAATTGATCCGCATAAAACGGTAAAAGACTTTGATATTCACGAATTTCACGTTCTACTGGATAGCTCAATGAAACCGCACAGGAACCGCACATCTTTTGTATAATGCCAATTTAGAACATGAAAGAAAACAGAATATCACATAACATCGGCATTGAAGTACTATGTTTACCGTCCTCTTCAAGTCATTTAAGCCTAAATACCCTAGTCAGGTCCTGTTATGAACTTGGGCCAAACGTATATATTCATGCATACCTTTAGATTTAGGCCCCGATTACACTATACCGGATTGCATCGGAGCGACGCGATTTCTGTACCGGATTGGGCTCTTGTTTACACAACAGAGGTTAAACTTTAGTATATTTGTCTATTTATTAACTCAATATATTAAAAGAACAAAAATATCGTAACACTTTCTGCCAATTAGTCCATCTTCTTTCGCAAATAAAGCCTTACAATTAAATTAATATTACATTAGTGTTTAAAGGTTTCAGGAACCCCATTATTCCCAATTATATTATGAAACAATGAACAAATCTATACACCTATAATTATAGTCTCCGTCGATCAAAAAAGTACTTTTTAAAATGCTGTAGAATGCATAAAAAATTGACAAAGCACATGAGTACTACTACTAGTTATCCAGATTGAATTTTGGATATAAATAAAATCAGGCATGCATGAATATCCTGTTTTGCTACGGCGGTAGATAGTGGGTTGATTTTAGAGAATTGTAATATGAGTAACCGTTATAAAAAGACTATTGTGTAAATTAAACATACTCTGTCTATGAATCAAAGTAGTTGATGTACATGTAATGAATTGAAATCAAGTTTAAAAAGACATTAACAATATTTTATACTGAAACCGGTTATCGTCACATGCATAACTATATAGTGAGACCAACGAAAACATATATCTTGTTTTTAATAGCACCTATCTTGGCATGCTACGTGCAAACAATTGAAAATGACTGTATGGAACATGTTACTTTTTTCTTATTTACTTAGCACCATAACATTGTAAATATCATGTGCTGTAGTCTGAAATATCTTTATTCCATTTAACTGTAAATAATTAAAATGTATAATTTAGAGGCCTTAATAACAACCCTGACCCTGTAAAGGTTTTTAGAATAGGTCTCTTGCCATATAGTATTATATACTTTAATGATTTGTTTACGTTATCTTGTATATGAAAAAAGGAATAAAATATTGATCATATTCATGCAAACAACGAATTTTTCGCTGTTTTCTGCAGTGTCAGAATTACTGCGGTAAAAACAGTTTTACAAATCCTGCATTCCTCAGTGACCTAATTAAGGGGCTTTCTTATCGCACACACACTAAACAATTCATAATCAATGATACATTTTTGTTGTATTCAAGGGTTGAGAAATTCTTGCATTAAATAAAAGTAACATTTTTTGTTTATACAAAAAGCAGCCCGTGTATAAAATATTACGAAAAGTAAACTTCTCGTGTCCGTATACAAATCGTTTCTTGGTTGGCCAGCGGAAATCCAAGATGGCGTACAGAAAATAATGCACACGATTTTGGCCTTATAAACACGTATTGTATAGGATGAAATAAAACAGACAAATATTAAATTTCTTGTTGTTTATACAAATACCACAGAAAGTACTTAAATGCACAAAATGACAAAACAAATTACATTTTCCAAAAATAATCAACGGAGAGGCGAAATTTCTTGCCTCACTGTGTAAATGAAAGAAGCTTAAATCGTAAATTAAATCGCGACTCGTTCGAACGCGCCAAAATCATCCCATTCTATAACCGCCTCCCACCTGTCGAAAGTGATTCCTGTTACTTTCTGGCATACTTAGTGATTTGAGTGGACTTTTCGGCACCGGCTTTTCCACGTCAACAAGTGCGTAGATCCGCTACGCACAATTGTGAACGGAAAATAACAGTCATGTTTTAATGGTCTTGCATTTTAAATGTTTGCTGGTAACAAACATACATTCTGAACTGCACCGGCGAACAGTATAAAATCAGGAAGACTGCAGATGTTTGTCATTCGCCGAGAGAAGAGCTCGAGAACAGATCTCATTCAACAAGCAAGAGAATTGAAATACTGAAGTGAAATATACTGAAGATGATGTTGCAGTGGTTGGTACTATTGATGCTGTTTGTTCATAACAGTTTAGCCTTAGCGCTATATGATGATATAAATGGTATGTGTTATCACATTAAAAACTGTATATATATACAGATTGGTAACCGTCAATATTACTGACGGTTATCTATCAAAGACCTGTGAGGCACTGAATGGCACAGCTTGGCGCTGAACCTCTTTCTTTCTTTTTTTTTGGCACTGACACTGTATTTCGAAACTGCACTGCCCGTAAAGCCAACCAGAATTGAGTTATTTTTTCATGTATATTATCAGGGAGGAAAGTGATTGGGACTGGAGTTAGTTTTCAGCAGTATGCAGATGCCTGCATGGTAATTTGCGGACATTTATAGTAATCTATCTATCGAGTATATATCTCAAGTTCACCTCAACCGCACATTCAGTAGTATTTCTTCAGCTAGTACTCCGGTTTCCACGTGTTATGGGATGTTTACCTCTGTAGGGAGAGCTTTTCTCTGGCCTGATAGAGCTTTAGTTTTCTTTGCTTAACGGAATGAGCTATATAGTACGAGCGAGCGAGTATAGAAATAAGAGTGAAACTCGGAAGCCAAATATTTTTTTTTCATTCTAATTAAGTGATTTCATTCCCATTTGATTGATTTTTTGAAGAAGTGTTTCCGGGATAGACAGCATCCCTTTTTAGCGTAAATTTTCACAAATTCTAAAAACAATGTACATGATGAAATGTGATTTCGAAGGAATCGTATTCGGTAATTTACTCACATCGTATGTTCTTTCAGATCATCATCGTTGGCCACGTGGAGGACCATCTATAGCAACTACTGGAGCAACTAAAATAGATTATAGTAAAGGTATATTAATACTCAATATCAAGATATAGCTGGAAGCTTTACATATTTTATAGTATCTATACCATGCCGCTGAGCAGCATCGTGTTGAACTGCCTTTTTTATATTGCATGAAACGACTTCCCCACAAGAATAAGTCTAAATATCTTGCTGAACAAACGAACTCTAAAGGGTGTATAAAAAAGCGCACTATTTTAAAATTTTCACTGATCTGAAAATTCCGCCAAATATTTGACAACTTTATGTTAGTGCATGTGAGTAGTTTGGAGTCCTCTGGTATCTCCATAATTATATATCACCAAATTATTGTGAAGTATATATTTTGATAAATACCCCCTTTAAAAATGGCCTGCGCACAAAAATGGTAGGTTTAAAACACAATTTGAGTTCATTAAATCTATTAAAAATGTCATTTTTGTTTTCAGATTTTCCAGATGGATGTCATTGCAAAGGTTATATTTTATCATTTCCTATATATGCTAAACCAGGTGAACAGACGGTACAGGTCACTTTGCCAGAACCAGAAGTGATATGCAAAAATTATGTGAACAAGTCAGTTAGTCCACCTAGTAATTCTAAGTTTAAACTGGGCCGACATGTGATTACTTATTCGTATCGGTACAAAGGTTACAAGCAAGATTTGAAGTGTTTTGTCAATTTCACTGTTGCTCGTAAGTGAACGTTAATATACATGAAAATATTTCTTAATTCTAATTTCTTAGAAGTGCAAATTTACTGTAAAACAGTGCCAAAAAATGCTGTTCAAAGCCAAAACACATGATTCTGTGAAAAGTCCTTTTAACTTTTTGTAATTTGTCTGACAAGTATATTTTTTAATTCAAGTTATGCAACAGTGGAAGAAAAAGGTTTTTTTTGAATATTTCTAATTCTTACATGATAATCCTAAATCCATTCCCTATTCTTTACAATTTGAAGAAAGTCACGTACACTTTTCATGAAGTCAAAACTAAATTCAAGTTTTCTAAGCAAAACAAATGTTTTACTATCGCCATGCAAACTTACTAATATATAACTTAATTTTGCGTTCTTTCTTCCAGTAGCGAACTGGCTCAATTAGGGCTCAGCATGCCCTAATTAGCATTGAGACCTAATGTTCTATTTATAATAGTTAACACCAATTATACCATTAATAGCTACTGTACCTTAATTTAATGAGACATATTTGATGCCAGAAGTCAGAATGTTTTATAATAAGCAAGGGCGAAGCGATAGGAGTGCGTCGCCGCCGCGAAAGGAGTAACATCCCTCCTCCCACCCAACATTTGTTCATGACTAGTAATTTCTGGTAAATTTAGAGGATAACTTTGGAAAATATATATATATTACAATATATATATATATATATATATATATATATATATATATATAGGTAAAATATACGAACATTGACAGGCACGTAGAAGTTAAAAGTAAGTGAACGCAAGCTTAGAATGCAAAGTTTTAGCTGCATTTCTAGGATTTCTGAGGGTCAAAATATTCAAATTGTTTCCCCGTCCCGCGCAGATTTATACCCGTACTCAATTATGCCAATGTATTCTTTCGAAAAAACACCTGCTACTAATAATTAAATGCACTCAAAACCACATTAAATTTCAAACACGGCTTATAGTCCGTGTGTTGTGACCTCGAAAAGTGCCTAGAAAACGATTTTCATTAAGCATGTCTTAGATCTGAAATATTTTTACTGGAACTAACACTTTGGAACACGCTGAGTTCAAATCCGAAAAGTTCCCACTCCGTAGACCCGCAGTTTTCTCACAAAATGCTATTTTATCTTCAAAAATTTCACGACAAATTTTTCATTGTTCAACGACACGGATCGATGACGATACACGATTATGTCACTCAAAAGGACCAATTTCTATTAACCATTCTTCCTTTTAACAAAAGACCGGTTTTGCTCGAATCATTTTGAGTTATGCAATCTTATGCGTGTTGGACGTAAACAACATATCTTGTCTACAACTTTGAGAGGGTACAGATCATTCCTTCTAATATCCTTAGTTCTGGATATATCTCTATAAAATTACAAGGACGTTAATGTTAAGTCTTTGGGCTATGTCTCTGGGCTAAGAAATAATTGCTTACATGCGATCAAAGTGTTTTATACAACGATGTAGGACGGTAATCTATATGTAATGGATCAGCATTTAAATTTCCAACGCAGTTTTTGAGATGTAATTCAAGAGATAACTTATCATTGCATTTGACTATTACATCAGTTGGTGTTATACTGTGCGATAAGCGAATATTATTGGAAAGAGGGCTTCCATATACGTTGAAATCACCAAATAAACAGCTTATGCACGCATTTCTCCACTTCGTCGTAAGTTTATAAAGCATGTTTTATACTTTGGGACTGATCTTTGTCTTTGATGTGAACATTTATTCTTATAGTTTAAGGTTATTTAAGATTGATCCTGTCGTAAGTCTTCTACCAGCAACCAATCGACAATATTTCATTTTAGCGTTCTCTTTGCCGTTACGTTCGCTTCGTGTTACTTTTGTTTTAAATACCTTGATCGCGTTAAAAGAGTTATTTTTCAGGCCAGTGACATAGCCAAATAACTTCGCATTAATGTCCTTGTGATTTTATAGAGATATCTCCAGAACTGAGGATTTTAGAAAGCGTTATCTGTACTTTCTCAAAGTTGTAGACAAGATATGTTGTTTACGTCCAACACGCATAAGATTGCATAACTCAAAATGTTTCGAGCAAAACCGGTCTTTTGTTAAAAGGAAGAACGGTTAATAGAAATTGGTTCTTTTGAGTGACATAATCGAGTATCGTCATCGATCCGTGTCGTTGAACAATGAAAAACTTGTCGTGAAATTATTGAAGATAAAATAGCATTTTGTGAGAAAACTGCGGGTCTACGGAGTGGGAACTTTTCGGATTTGAACTCAGCGTGCTTGAAAGTGTTAGTTACCTTAAACATATTTCAGATCTAAGACATGCTTAATGAAAGTGAACGATATCGGGTCACAACACACGGACTATTAAAAGTGATGTAAAATGTAATTTTAAAAATCAGGTAATTTGAGACGAGCGACTCATACATTCTTGGAAATCACGAGCCAAAACTTGCCCGGTTATAATTATTTTTAAAATTTCTTCATATTTAGCTTGCGAATGTCCCAGTACTCAAACAGTGAAAGCCACAGTCAAGCCTGGTGAAACTGAAGCCTCTGTCACATGGCGGGAACCTGAACCTACTTGCCCGACTAATCCAAGCGGACAGAATCCGCAAAATACCCGTGAACGGTTTTCTATCGGCAAACACACGGTCACGTACAAATACACTCACGTGCACATCGGGTTCCGAATGTTTGATGTAAAATGTCATGTGAACATTGCTGTCACAAGTATGCTAGTACATGCGTAAAGACGATAAGAGAATAGAGTGGACATTGCCGGGAAAATATATAGGCAAACGAAAGGGACATATTGAAGCTGCATGTATATATATGTATATCTACACCGGTTGTAAAAACGTACCATGCCTATATATGTCATACATTGTAATCGCCTTGCCAACATCGCCTTAAAGTGCAAGAAAATCGTTTTTATTATCGTAAAAAACATGAAAATTAAACTGTGTAATGTTGTAAAACACAAATTCCCAAATTTTTATCACTAAATCTAGAATAAAGTGGGCCACGTATGATTAGATTTTTCTCTGAATTTGAATGCTTCTGGTTATTTTGGCCAGTCGTAAGTTTTGTACTTATTGGTTTTGTTGGTGATAAGATAGTCATGACACTGTTGCTAAGACGATTTCAAAATGTGATTTTTTCAGCTGTGGTGTTGAACTTTCATTTCTTTGCTTAAATAAATATATTTGGAAAAACAAACGCGTGGTTTTACACCCAAGACTTCCAATCAAACGTCCCCATTAAGAAGCTTCAATTGACCCTTCAATTTTTCCCGCAATCATTTACACAAATGATGGAATTAGTATAGGTAATCATGCGATGGCGAGTACAATTAGGGATTAATAGTACGAGTGATGTTTGGAAATTTTGCCAAAATTGGACGAGCCGCCTGGGCGAGTCCAATTTGGCAAATTTCCAAACATCACGAGTACTATTAATCCATAATTGTACGAGCAACATCGCATTTGTAGAGAATTGGAGTTTTTTCATTGAATGAAATACATTTTTATTAGTGCTGCTTTACAATTTTTCTATTATTACTTATTGTTGATTATCGAACTAGAAGTATAGAGCGTTTGCACATGACGTCACAGCCGTCATGTTGGTATTCCAATTGACGATTCCACTTATTACGTTTTCGTAGCACTTTGCATTGTTGTTATAGTGGTATCACTAATATTCAAGATGGCTTATTTTTTGTCCTGACCCGTGCAAGAACTTTTAAAAAAAGCTAGGGTCAGG